CCCTGAGAATTTGCTATAATTTAGATGGCAACTTTGCCAACCAGATAAAGAGGGTTCCCAGTAGACAGTTAAACTTGAACCAAGAGAGTTCAAAGGTTAATATTTTTAATGAGTCTAAGAAATTCCACATGTGATTTAGTTTTTTATCTGGCACTGAATGCAACAGTAGACAGTCTATACTCAATAAATGCATTTCTTTTTTTTTTCTTTTTGAGACAGAGCCTCAAGTTCTCAAGTTGTCGCCCTGGGTAGAGTGCTATGGAACCACAGCTCACAGCAACCTCCAACTCCTGGGCTTATGTGATTCTCTTGCCTCAGCCTCCCAAGTAGCTGGGACTACAGGTGCCTGCCACAACGCCTGGCTATTTTTTGGTTGTAGTTGTCATTGTTGTTTGGCAGGCCCAGGCGGGATTTGAACCCACCAGCTCTGGTGTATGTGGCTGGCTGCTTGAGCTGCAGGCGCCAAGCCAAAGAAACATTTTCATATGCTAGCTCAATTCATTATATCTAAATGTCTCCTTTTATTTCTGAATAGATAATATATATAATGCAAATTTATGGAAGAAATAAGAAAGAGTTCTTATTTTATAACAATTTTCCATTTTGCAAAGAAAATTATCTTCAAATTTATTAAAAATCTACATTAGTGAATTGAAAATAAGATTGACAGGCTAAGTGCAGTGGCTTACTCCTATTAATCCTAGCACTTTGGGAGGCCGAGGTATGTGGATTGCCTAAGCTTAGGAGTTGAACCCGAGCAAGTGTCAGACCCCAGTTGTACAAAAATATAAGAATTAAGGCCTGTTGTCCTAACTATCTGGGAGGCTGAAGCAAGAGAATTGCCAGAGCCCAAGGGTTTGAGGTTGCTGGAAGTAATGTCACCATGGCACTCAACCCCAGGGTGAATAAGTGAGACTCTGTCTCTGAAAAAAAAAAAAAGAAAGAAAAAGAAAACAAAGTGAACATACTTTCAAACATTTAGAATACATGAATATATTCTAAACACATGTCCTAAATGTACTTCATTTGAAAATAAGGTAATGTATCCTTATTGAACATTTAGAATACATGAATATATTCTAAACACATGTCCTAAATGTACTTCATTTGAAATACTTATATGAAAGTATATACTTCAGATTAGCCTTCTTCCTAGTTAGCTGGAATTAATAAAATTTTACTATAACTACATGATTTATAACTAAAAATAATGTGGTTGTATTATGTAGTAATAATTAACAAAAAATATTTTATACTTACGGGCAAAGTTCAACTTCTAAATACTGCTCAGTTATATCATTCAAGAAAAATGCTTCCACAACTTTTAAAAACAGAGATATGACATATTGAGATATTTAATTTTTTTGAGAGATTTAATTTGCTTCTTGAGAATTAAATAATTTGTTTATCCTTTAGAATATACAGTAAATTAAGTATTTTTAGTTATAATACTATCTCTTGTAGGAAAAAGGCAAAGATAATAGACATTGACTAAAGGAAGAAATGTATAGGAAATAAATCAAGATCAATTTTCTCCTGTATCAGATTGCCATAAATGAAAAAAATTAATTTGCTGCCAGTGAGGATATAATCAACAATGTATGAAATCAACATTATCATACGGATTTTAGTCTAGTTCTATTCTAGGATTTATCCTATGAAAAATAATCAGACAACTGGAAAAAGAATAAGTATAATTGTTAGTCATCAAAGTATTGCTCAAAAATTGAAAATAATTTCAATAATTAACTCCCACTATATAGAATTATCTCTTAATCTATAAAAAATACATAAGATCTATAAATAAATATCCTATTATACAAGAGAACTGCTAAATAAATTATGGAAATTTTATATTTATGCAATGGAATACGATGTAGCCATTAAAAACAAAGACAGTTAAATATTTATAAACATGGGAAGATACCTATGATATTTGATAAGTAGCCTGCAGAACAGCAACCAAATGTACATGAAATTAAAATGTGCATGTGTGCTGTGCCTAGGTGTCTGCAAAATGTACACAAAAATGTTAATACTACTAATCTATGATTGGTGGAATATGTAGTACATACAGATAGATGATCTTTCTTTTCTTCTTTATAATTTTCTAGAATTTTCTGAGCATATGCTATTTTAAAAATTTTTAATTGTGAAAGCAATACAGCTTCCTTGTAAGTGATTAAAACAACACACATATATAGAAAGTAAAAAGTTGAAGTCATTTTTTTCTCCCTTTGGCCTAGAACCTGCCAGAATTGTTCTGTGCCTCTACAAACTATTTTACCTGCTCAGATTTTTAAAAAGTAAATATGGAATTATACTTTCCTACAATTTGCTTTTTGTTCACCTAAAAACTCTCCTGCATATAAATACCATATTCTTTTTAATGACTGGATAGTATTCTCTTATAGACTATTATAACTTATTCATTTAATCCTTCTGAGTAGACATTTGTTTCCAATTTATCATGTGTTATTTTTATAATAGCTAAGATGTATACATAGTTCCATTGTCAATTCAGAGAACTGCATTGTCCCTTTCTAAATCTATATAAATTAGAACATCTTCTGTAATGGATAATTGTATGTGTTAACTTGACTAGGCCACAGTACTCAGATTGAGTACAGATGATTTTAGTTGTTTCTATGAAAGTTTTTTTGTTTGTTTTGTTTTTGAGATAGTCTCATTTTGTCGCCTTTGGTAGAGTGCCACAGCTGACAGCAACCTCGAATTCTTGGGCTCAAGTGTTTCTCTTGCCTCAGCCTCCCAAGGAGCTGGGACTACAGGCACCTGCCATACACCTGGCTATTTTTTTTAGCTTATGGGCTAAAACGCTATTTAGGAGGCTCTGCCCTAACCCAGGTAAAAAATGATGAAGGTCTAACTTTTGGTAAGGATGGTGGGATGAATGTGAGGCACTGATTTAGAGAAACATCTAGGAGATGGAACTGATAGGACTTAGGAAATAAATCCAAATATGGAATGTAAGAGAAGACATGTTGGAAAGACCTTAACAGTTCCCAGATTTGGTGATCTGATGTATGTAATGTTAGTGTCATTTTAAGATTGGGCAATTAGGTAAAAAGGCAGAGAGAAGCAGATGGGTTGGGTTTGGTACCTGTAGTACCTCTAGGAGATAAGTCAGATTGGTGTGTATAATATTAGGAAGATAATAAATACTATACCAGTTTTGTATCAATAAAAGATACCATGACAACTTGAAAACTGACAAAAGTGTTCTATACAAATGGCATAAAGAAAATAGACATTAGTATTCATCAAAGTCTTCTTTAAAGAAATGGGATGTGAGTTAGATTTTGAACTATGCGCATAAGAGGCAAGAGGAATAGAATGAGAAAGTACATGGGTAAAGAGCTTCTGGTTGAATATAGCAGCCCAATTCATGAGTACCCTGAAAGCTTATACACAGGCTTTGAACTTTATCCTAGGGATAATGGTTTTTTTTTTTTTTTTTTTT